TTATTGAAAGTCCTTAGGATCCCTTTATAATAAAGGCATTCCATAAGTTTGTATGAGTTGTGCTTGGGTCTTCTTTTGTCTCAAACTAATTTTGAATTCCAATTTATGTTGGAGTATCTCGTTGGATTTTAATATTATGAAGAGGCATAAATAAGAAAAACGCTGAATCACCACGAATGCGATTGTCATTCTATACTGATAGGATCAGCGATAGCAGTGGGCTCTTACGATTCATATTTATGATTGCAGAACCGAAGTGGGAATAAATTCTCAGATTTCGCAGACCAAATCAAAGTATATTTAAGCTGTGTTACCTTTGATAAACACAATAGTTATGCTATCGATATATTTTAGCCCTTAACAATAAAATAGCATTCTGAGATGACACTGTGTAACATGAAGTAATTACATTGATGGGCCCTAAAAATGTGTAGCTTGATTCATTAAATTAGGATTTTTTACAAACTGCAGCAAATTCTGTGAAATGTATACAATTAAGGAAGTCGATTTTAATTGAAACCCATCTGGGAATCGAAGCAGTGGTCAATTTGTAAAGTTTTTCAGTTGTCCGGTCCCACGAATGCCACTTTTCCAGCGAAAATATCGCTTTTTATGAACAAAATGGCAAAGTAATTGATAAGAAAGTGGGTGCACGTGCTCCGTTAACGTGCAATCACCTGAAAAGGTATCGCTTTTTGCTGTTTAGTAAACAACCTATTTTGAGTGCAGTCGACTATTTTGAGCACTATTCTTACTTTTGAGCTTCTATTTTGTTAAGAACAAAAAGCAGTTACTGGCGCAAATATTTGGTTCGGGGGAACCTCTGTGTAATTAGTTTGGCTTCTCTTTGTGGATGTATGTAACTATAAACCATTCTCAAGTAGTTGTTGCCCTTTTCAAAAGTTAAATTAGAAACAATTAAATGTATACGACCCTAATTTGTGTTCATTTGCTTAGCTTTATCGCCCCACCGGCTCACTTTCCATCCCTGTTTACAGAGGTATTAGGTAACCTACTATAATTTGCGTGCGCAATGCGGAGTTCATGGCAGGATAACAGGGCAAAGGTCATGTTGGGCGAAAATGTAAACGAAATGGATCGTCCTGTCTGACTGTGTCATCACAAATCGATTAATTAGAGAGAAGATTAGGCGCTTTTACTATGAATGGCTTGGTTAGTGCAGTTTAAATTGTAAAAAACGAACCAGAAAAAAACGAACCTATAACACAACATTACTTTCTTTGGCAGTGAAAGCCGTTAACTATGTGGAAACTTGGCCATCAGAATGCATCGTTCGACCAAAATTCGGAATAGCGTGGTGCTGATCTTCCTGCTGGTACTAGCACACAATGCCTTTGGCCAAGTTTCCAGGGAGAACGCCACCAATCCCACACTGATATCACTGGTCCAGAGCTCGGAAAAAGAGCCAGAGCACATGGATTCGCATCGGTATGCAACCGGTGTGCCGGAACCAGTAGCCGTGGAGCCCTTAACCAGGATGCGTCCGAACGTGAGTACGCCCAAAGGGTCTCGATTTGCCAAAGAATATCTTGTAAATAATATGCGGAAATTATTATCAAAGATATATTATAGACTGGCTTGTTATTGTATCAGCTATTAGCTGAAATAGCTATTTTATGAGGCTACTGCAGCTAGGTAGTAGTTCCTTTTTACAACTTATGCTCCTTTCTTAGCAAAAACCCGATGGGGAAATCACAGAGCTGAGCACCAATGTAACGCTCTACATGGAGAAAATTCCACGCCTGCAGGTGCGGTGGCAGGATAATTTGCCAGAGGGTGAGTCTTTAATTTAGCGAGTAGCCTGTCAGTTGCAGAAGCCATTTAAGTACTGGTACCCAATACTGCTAGAAATCTTCCTAATCCTGGACATGGCTTGGTTCCATAGGTACTTCGTACAATGTCCTTGTTAGCGCGGTGAACAACAGTCGTTGTCCGGATGCGCCGTGCAGCGAGTACGGCATCAAACAGAAGAATGTGGATCCGCACTTGGTATACCTGCCAGTAAATCCCAACATGAACGTGGAGTCCGTGGACTGCAACTACATGTTTGGCTGCCAGTACCAGGTCATTGTGGAGACGTCCAACGCGATGGTCAGGAGATCTGCCCGCGTCTACATTCCACGTGAGTGGAAAATACATCCCTTAGGGATGTACAAATGTCCCGTTCTTGGAATAACTTCTATCCATCCTTAACTTAATCCGAACAGAGTGCTTGGAGGGCAAATGCTCGTGCCAACTGGCGCCCACCCCGCCAAAGGTCCTGGCCGTGGCCAAAATGCTTAGCAACGAGACCATCAGCATCAACATCTCAATCCTGGCCAGCGAGCTGTTGCGCAAGGAGCAGGACTCCCATCTGCACGAGACATTAAGGACGTATCAAATGCAGTTGAAGTGAGTACTCGCAGCGGGTGGTTATTTAGTTGAGAGGCCCATAATGGCCATCATAAGTCCAATTAAAATTGATAATTGAAATTTCTAATTTAACACGGGTAATTAAAATTACTGTGGTAAATGCAATGACGTCTGGCACTCATGATTTCCAAGTAGACAGTCTATCAATTTCATGCGAATTGCAAAAACATATCACTTTTGTTGGCATATCCATAGAATCCTGAAATTCCTTTAACCTTCTGTAGTGACCAAGATGAACATGCCATGCATGTTGAGCATTCCTGAGCTTCTTTGGAATTTAATCACACGAGGTGTGAAATAATAGCTTTACTTAAACGACTAAACGACTGAAAATTACAGAATCAATGAGGAGACAAACCCCTCGCTTCCCTGGGGCGGAGTATTGAAGCATCTGATGACCCGCGTTTACAAACTCAGTGAACTGAACTTTAGGGCAACTCCCAAGGGATTCGAGGGCGGCATGAAGCTGGGACTGGGCACGCAGCTCAAGGAAAAGGCTTCCCTCAGCCTGCAGGCCGTCATCATCGATCCATCGGGCTGCGAGGGACCACGCAGTGTTACCAAGGTGCCAGGTGAGTGAGTTACATTCCGGAAGGTAATCTCCTGTACCCAAAATGTTTATATTCCATATGAAAAGTGCCTGCGAATCCCGTCCTGCTCACTGAAGGTGATAGTGTGGTAAGCCAGGATTTAATGTCTGTATACGGTCCGAATATTTCCTATTGTTTCCTGTCCAGAGCAACTCCATAGTTGTGATGAGCGCCATGCTGATTGCCATCATCATAGCTGGCCTGATTATTCTGCTCCTCCGCCGCCGAAGAGCCAGGACAACGGCCAAGTTGCGCAAACAGGAGCAGATCTACATCCAGACCTTCGCCACCTCCGCCATCGAGTAAGTATTGAAGGCTGCAAGTGCCTAAGGGAGCTCTTACGAGGTGTACTTATTCGTTTCAGGATGGAGGACAATGTCAATTACGTAGACAAGTATGTGGAGGTAAGTCATTTAAAAGCCGAGAAAATCTGAATCCCACAACTGAACCCACAACATTCCATACAGAAGTCGCAGGTCCTAGGATTGGCGGACATTTTCGAGGTCCCCCACTCGGCCATCCAGATTGGACGGATGTTGGGCGAGGGAGCCTTTGGCCAGGTGCACGAGGCCACTGCCATCAACTTGCGCCGGATGAGAGGCACCACCATCGTGGCAGTGAAGCAACTGAAACGTGAGCAATGCTCGAAAGTTCAGTTGAACGTATACTGAGACTAAACTTTTCTTTGCAGCCAATCCCAAGGCGGATGAAGTAGCCGAGTACCTGGCCGAGATCGAGATGCTCAAGGGCGTGGGCACCCACCACAATGTGGTCTCCTTTCTGGGCTGCTGCACCATCAAGCCGCCATACCTGATGATAATGGAATACGTAAACAAGGGAAACCTGGTAAGTAAGATGATAATCATTCTAACACATAAGAATTGCTGAAAACTGACCATGTTTTGCCCTTAGTTAACCTATTTGCGAACTGTGCGTCAGGAGGCCAGCAAACTGAGGAAGAGAAATGCCAATTACACGTCCTGCAGACCGATTACGAACAGGACCAATAGCACGTCCTCCCCCAAATCACAAAGCGTGAACTACATCGAATTGAAGGCGTCCAGTCAGACCATTGATATGCCACAGGAAGACTCCAGTGGACACATTAATGGCATCCGGCAGCCACATCCCTCGTTTGCCGAAAGTAAGCTGTAATTAGTTGGGCAAAGTCAGTGACTGACACTCTAATTGCAGCCACTTACACCATTGTCGAGGACGAAGATGCATTCGAGTACATATTGGACAACAAGGAACTGCATAATTTCGCCCTACAAATTGCCAATGGGATGCGTTTCCTGGAAGAGCAGGAAATAACGCACCGGTATGCTTAACTGTCACCACCCTCTGAAATGATTATAATGTCTCTTCCCTTTTAAAGCGATTTGGCTGCACGCAACGTGCTTATTGACAGCAATAAGACCCTTAAAATTTCAGATTTCGGCCTTTCCAGGCACGGAATCTATACGAACACAAGGACGCGAAAGGTAGGTTAGATACATTACACTAAGTACGAGTATATGCTTTACGTAAGAGCTCAATCTAAATAGTTCAGGACTTACTTTGTTTGTATCTTCGCTCAGCTCCCACTTCGCTGGCTGTCCATTGAGGCGATTCGCGAAAATGTGTACTCCAGCAAGAGCGATATCTGGGCCTATGGCGTAGTGCTCTGGGAGATCGGCACCTTGGGCGCCTCGCCATATCCGACGATCAGCAACAGCGAGTTAATCCCATTCCTGATGGCGGGCAACCGTCTCGAGCGACCGGAGATCTGCACGCCGCAGGTGTACACCATCATGCTGCAGTGCTGGCTTGAGGAGCCGGAGGAACGACCCACCTTCGATGCGCTGTACAAGGTGCTCAGTCCAAAGACTACCTACGTGGACATCAACAGTCTGAGTGATGATTACGTCTTTCCGCCGATCAGTGAAAATAGGGAATAAGCTCCTACTGTGGAAATAGTTTCTACATCCTTAATCGCTAGTTGCTAATTGTGGAACGCTGCCTCTAACGTCCCTATTCGTTAATTGTTATGCGATTATCCGAAGTGTACAAATATCTCCGTCTGTGTGTGCATATTGCAGTGTTTAAATGTACCGGAACAAAGTTTTGAATTAAGTACAACTTGAGTTAGTGTTTAGTCAGTAGGCTTTAGATTGTCAGCTCAGTTTTGGACTAACTTTACGTGCGAAGTTTCCCGACCTGTTTACGCATTAAGCTAATTAAGGACATTAAACGGACTTTACAGTCTGTCACAATCCGTATACGAACGTAATTTTGATGTGCTGTGAGTTTCAAACGAAGGAAATATATTGAAATTAATTGTATTTCATATTTTAATGTTAGTCTTCGCTAAGCGTTTATGCGTTACTTCAGAGTATTAATAAAATTCAAAAGATTACCGTTTCTGTGCATGCTTTTAATGTCGGACGCCGTATATTTCATTCCAGGCCTCAAACTGTTTGCAGTCCTCCGCAGAAACACTTTTAGATATAACCCGTAACGCCTGCTTGAAATCAGCAATGGTTACGGCAGGTAGCTAGGAAAATAACAATACTAATTTAATTTAACGTCCATTTACGTGGTAGTAAGCAGCAGTGCATACCTGATGCGTCTCTATGACCTCCATTTGGTCGGGTGTCAATGAGCGAAGGGGAGCCATGGATGCATAGCGGCATAGCGTATCCACATCCGCCCCTGAATAGCCATCGGTAAGCTCAGCCAGCTCGGTTATTTGCATGGCATCAAGGCTGTGCTTAACCTGCCGAATTAACTTTTCTATGATTTTCTGGCGTGCCTCCATCGTGGGCAAGGGAACGTACAGACGCCGCACAAATCGCCGGCGTACCGCCTCATCCAGCTCCTGGGGTCGGTTGGTGGCTCCTATTACCAGCACTCGGATTTCCTCATTACTAGCGGCACCGTCCAGGTGAATGAGAAACTCGTTCTTCAGGCGTAGAGTGCTCTCGTTTTCGTTCCCCGAACGCTTGGACAGCAGGGAATCCACCTCATCTATGAATATTATCTGAAATGTACAAAAAGTGTAAGTGCTATAAATATGCAAGACAGTTTAAAAGTTGGTTAGCGTGACAACATTTAGTTAATGAATCTGGGTCCTATAGTCATGCATCACATACCGCTGGTTGATGTGCAGCGGCCACGGCAAACAATGTCTTCACCAGCTTCTCGGCATCGCCGACCCACTTTGAGGTCAGGCTGGACGGATTAATGCTGAAGAACTTGGCCTTCGCCTGGGAAGCAATGCTCTTGGCAATGAGCGTCTTGCCTGTGCCAGGTGGTCCGAACAGGAGAACCCCGCGCGGTGGACACCGCACTCCTGTGAACAAGTCAGGCCGCCGGAGTGGCATGATAATGGCTTCGAGGAATGTGGACTTTGCAGATTCCAGACCGGCAATATCTTCCCAAGCTGAAATCGGTGAACAGGTATTTCGTGAACAGAACGGTTTGTGGCCCCCTAATTACTACCAACCGACAGGTTTGAAATCGTGCATGCTTTCGCCGAGAATCTGCTCCACCATCTTGGAATCCAAGTGGGCCAATGCGGGTGGTATGCTGCTGCACCGTCTGTAAGGAATTGTATACAATAAAATATGCTAGGGCGCTGAATAAATGCAATTTTCTCACGAGCTGGCGGAATTCTCATTACTCGCCACGGGCGACACGAAGTTTGAGCTGACAGTTCGCTTTCCACCCAGCGTTTTTTTCCTGAAATTCATCATGCCGGAAGGGGCTGCATTCATTTCGCCTGCTGTTTGCCCATTTTTTTTCTGTGATATTGAAAACAGAGGCATTATCAAATGGTGTAATCCTATACTGCTGTTGAGTTTTAGTGAAATGCATTCTGACTTTTCGATTTTCGCCAGAATCCACTTTGTATGAAACGCGCACCGCGCATGCAACAAACCTTCAAATCGTCGATGATTAGTTGCTCCCGGGCAGTGCGAAAGCCAAAGCCGCTTTGGAATGAGCTTTGTGGCGGGTACTGCTGTGCATCTATGTCCGTTGTGGAATTAATGGAATTAATCCTTTTCTCCGGCAGATGCCCCTCCGGTCTGTCCTTAACAGGCTGTTTGACCGGGTTACTACATGCAACTTCATGAGACTGCAGATCACTGGAGGCAATCTCTGTTGCCTGGCAACTTTCGTAGGAGCCCCTGCACTTCCGCTCAAAGACCACATCAGGGGGCATCTCGTACAAGAAGTCTGTATAGGTAATCCGCGGACTCGTCCTGCGACTCCTTGTTATTGTTTGCTGGCAGCGCTCTAAGTGCTCCTCCATCGCTGTCTCCGTGCTTTCGCATGTCTGCAGCCTGTCGTGGTGATCCTTTAGCGCGGCGAAGTAGGTGGAATCGCTGCAGGATCTGGAGTGGGACATGTGGAGTCCTTTTAAGAGGTGAGGTAATAATGATGTGCGAGCTCACCTGGTCTGCTGGCATATCAGGAGCAGTTGGGTGCGCCACGAGCTCTGTTCGTCGCTCATGTTGTGGCAATAAAAACAAGTAAAAGCTTTAGTTTCTAAACAAAATTAAAAAGTAAAAGACGCGGCAAATATAGCAATCATCTGTTTAGCCAAGTTGCAATGGGGATCGGTGGTATCGTTATCGATATACCCTTATAGCATATTTCCACCAGGTTCCAATTGATAGTTGGTCTGGTCTGCACTCTTCAAGCATATGTGATCGGCTATCGTTGTTATCGAAACCGATTGTTTTTCTATCTATCGAGTTCAAAATTAGTATGAAGACATTGTCACCACATTAATACAGTTTATTCGGAAATTATACTCGTTTATTATATTATTTATTATTTGCAAGCTTTTAACATTATGCTTTTTTCATCTCTTTGGCCTTTCAGTAAGTCTGCTTCGCCCAATTAATGTTCAATTGCTTTCAATTGGTTCGCTTCGTTTTAATTAAAAAGCATTGTGAGCCACCCTTGGATTTCACCATAAACAAAACTAGCTACCAAGCCAGACGTCCTCAGATCTTATCGCCACATCGGTCTGTATGCTCACGTTGGGCAAATATATACCTGCATATTGCTCATCCCGGCCATCTCAACTGCCAACTATACGAAAACACGTCCGGACACGGTCTACGGTCGTTTCGTGGCCCGTGGATGGGGTTCAACTGGTGGCGCATAGTACGGGTGTTATCTGAGATAACGGCGCCGAAGCCTTGGCCATAAATACCCCACAGCATCCATTAACTGACTCTCATTTCAGCAGTCAGTGCAGTGAATTGCAGGTGTTTTCCCCAGGCTTCCCCATTGGGTTTTGGATACCGCGGCTATACAAAATGTGCCTGCCGAAAAGAGTGGGTGGACCGGCCATCCAGAGTGTTGCCACGGCCTTAGGTGAGCTCTTCCAGATTCACCCTTGCCTTAATAGAAATAAGTAATATTAGTGTTAGTTTGCCACTAGTTGCGCTCTACTTTCCTTGTACACAATAAAGAGATCCAATGTATTGATTACCCAACTTCAGGCAACATTCTCTGCTTTAACTTTGGCCTCATGTTTGGCATTACTCCGGCGCACATGACGCTGTACGAGTCGGAGGAGCGGACTCCTCTGAACCAGGCCACCGATCCGGCGGGAACCGCGTGGCTGACAGGATACCTCTTCCTCAGCGCAGCCGTGGGAGCCCTGGTCTCTGGATTCCTGGCCCTGAAAATCGGTCCCAAGTCCGTGCTACTCTGCTCTGGACTGCTCCAAATTGTGAGTAAAAACTGGAAGTAGAACGGGGGCAAGGGGTAAGCGAATGTCCATAGTTACATCAATTTCAGCACATGGTTCGTTAAATCGGAAAATTTGCATGTATATTGAACGTTTCTTTTTTTGTTCAATGATGAATAAATATGGTAGTGACAGTAAGTATATGCAAAGATTTAAAAACCTGGGACCTTTTAAAGGACACATTAAATTGTCGAAAAGCATAGTTGTGATATTTAAGCATCCAAATCAAAGCACAAATTTAATAACTCCATATTGAAAACTAGTTAATCACTTGTACTTACCACGTTTTCTGATCAGTAAAGGGACGTATTTCCCTTTTCATAGAAATAAGACTGAATATTATCCTTCCAGTCTGGTTGGGCCTGCATCCATTTTGGCTACGACATAGTGCACATCTACGCCTCCCGCCTATTCGCGGGCGTGGCGTCCGGCGCCGCATTTGTGGCGCTACCGATTTTCATCAACGAGATTGCCGAGTCGCGGGAGAAGGCAGCCCGTCTGACATTCACCATCGAGCTGTGGCGCACGCTGGGCATCCTGGTTGGATTTGTGCTGGGCTTCTATGTGCCCTACGCCTTCGTGAACATCGTGGGCTGTGCGGTGTCCTTTGTGTTCAGCATGACATTTCCCTTTGTGCAGGAGAGTCCCCACTACTATCTGCGCAAGAACAACTTGGCCAGCTTGGAGAAGTCGCTGCGCTGGTATCGCGGCATCCGGGACATCGACGATCGCGAGAAGCCGGAGTATCTCAGCGAGCTGGACGAGTTCCAGGCGGAGCTGCGGAGCAGGGACAAGAACGTGGGCTCCACGCCCATGTCGCACGGCTACATCATCCGGCTGGTCTTCGTCAGCTTCCTGCTGACCGTGTGCGCCAAACTGAGCGGCGTGTTCGTGGAGCTGAACTACGCAGCCGACTTCCTCGGCCGCACCGGCTATTCCACGGAAACCAATTACGTAGTTTTGGCCAGCGCCCAGTGCGCTGGAGCGCTCCTCGCACGGCTCGTCGGTCCGCGTTTGCCGCGCAAGGTTAGTCTGCAACTAGGTCTCAATCAGTACTAACCAGCAACACCTGCCACTAATTTCCCCTCTGCAGCTCCTGCTGTGCCTCTCCTCGCTTTTCGCTGCGGCGGCAGTCATTGCACTGGCACTATTCAAGACCTACGGACACCTTTGGCTGCTGGGCAACTGGGCGGATCGCAATTTGCCCATTGTTCTGCTGGCCATCCAGCTGGCTGTGGTCAGCTTTGGCCTTTATCCCCTGGCCGCGGTTGTTAGCAGCGAGGTTTTGCCCACCAAGGTAAGCGGGTTGTGTGCCAATTTGCGTGCTCCCCACTCCAAATTTATATTTATCCTGGCAATGGTTTGGCCTAATTAATTTAAAGCCATCGTTCCAAGTTCACTAGAACCAGCTTGTTAGTTTATGCGCCTAATTGACTGCATTTCTTGGCAGCTCCACGACTTGTTGTACTCACTGGCATCTGCTGTTTCGTGGCTCCTGCTCTTCGGCATGATAGAGGTGGGTGTTCCCGACGAGAATCCTGGCAGTGTAGGTCTATTAACGCGAATTGTTTGCAGGCATTCAATGCGGTTAAGGCCACAATTGCGCCTGGGCTGGTTCTGTATCTGTGGGTCTTCGCCGGAGCCTCCATTTTCGTGGGCCTCATTTCGCTGCCACTTCTGCCGGAAACCCGCAACCGCCGTCCTTCGGCGGTGCAGCGGGAACTGGGATACGTGGACGATGGCGGAGTGGCCAAGGGATCGGCGGTGACGAACGGACACATCGCCACCCATATCTGAGACGCTCGAGTAGTCCCTCCTGTTAGCTTTACCAACGATATTAGCAACGAATTTAGTTTTAGTCCGCCCAGAGCGCTATTTAATAAATAAAAAATTAAAACAAACCACTTCCCACCTAGTATTTCGCCAAGTGATGATGGCCCACAAAAGTATGCAATGCATTGGCTTGCCTACATGATTAATTCGTGATTACTCAACGGCTGGCAACGGCAAGATCCGGAATCCAACCGAGTTGTGTCACTTTCGTTCTGGGATTTTGGGTTTTCAGATTTATTATCTACCCCGAATCTTGTTGTTTGACCACGGGCCTTATCTGGCCTACGGTCTTTGGTCATAAAACTTTACCCCAAGTGAGAAAAACTTTGATAAAACTTACGGTCTCATGTGGAGCACTTAAGTTCATTTCATGTCAACCCATCTCGTGCTCTGCACACTATCTAATCAGAGTTGTACCCCCAGCCCAATAAAGCAGGATAAGTTTTACCATTTGTCGTTCCCCATTTAAATATGTCTTTATTTGCACTGGGTGCATTGTAGGTGCCGCATGCTGAGTTCTCCGAAACACGCATCATTTAAGATCCGATTTAATTCGCGGCAGCTTCTAATCCAAATTTACGCGTTTACGGACCAAAATGCTAAATGCGCGACTTTTGTTTGCGCCGGGTATCTCGACTGGCCAAATATTAGCCGCGATTAGGGAGCACCAGTAATTTACTATGCTGCTAGCAACTCGGAGTAGTAGTAGCACCCGTTGGATAGAGTATGGAGAGAGAGAGAGTCCCCATTGAACGCATATCAAATCAGGAAAAGGCAAACAAAAGCTGTAAAACCATTGTAATCGTCAGAGGGTTAGCAACAACAAATTTGCACTGACACCCGGCCAGTGGCAGTAATTAACTAGATTCTGTGACAGTGCATGTGGATTCGCTTTTGCTCTCATTTGGACAGAGCATAATGAGGCGGCGATAACGGTCTATAATCTACGCCACTCGTATAGTCGTAGTTCAGCAGAGCTCGTTTACGATCTAGTGCACTATATAAATATTATCATCCAGCCACTGGTTTCGCTTAGTTAAACGCGAACACCTACGGATATTTGACGGCCGGGTCCGGGTGAATATCAGCCTGAACGCAGAACTCCACGGGGGCTATGAGTTACCGCAGATAGGATTTCCATTGAAATAGTCCCGCAAAATGAGTTCCGCTGGTGGCGACAAGTACCAATATCTAGCTGCCATAAGTGGTTAGTAAAAGGTTTATACCAATTTATGGTGCGCCAATGAAGCGCTGTGCAAATAAAATAAGGCTGACTCTTCCACAAATAAAGGATTTCAGTTAATAATCCCTAGTACTCAATCGTTGAGTACCAATTGAGTACCAATGGACTGACTTTAACATTCGAGGATTAAGATGCATAATGCTTTGTAACTAAATTCCACTGCTGTTTTCCACATTCCACGCGCAGTAAACATCATTTCGATATCGTATGGCGCATTTTGCGGTTGGCCCTCGTCCAGTTTCCTGGAACTGTCAGCCGAGAACAGTCCCTTGGACACGGGTCCTTTGACTCCCACGGATCAGGGATGGGTGGCCTCGAACATATGCTTGGGCGGCCTGGTGGGCACTTTTCTGTTCGCCTGGCTGGCGGACAAAATCGGCAGGAAGTGGTGCCTCATGTGGATGGCGCTGCCCAATTTGGTAATTGCCCATTGAATTATTTTGAGGATTCTATTGAAATACTGTGCATTTGCAGCTGGGCTGGGTGATAATACCCTTCGCGCGCAACCCCATGCATTTAATAATCGCTCGATTTGTCGGCGGAGCCGCTGGAGGTGGCTGCTTCACGGTGATACCCATTTATATAGCCGAACTGGCCTCCGACAAGTAGGTTCCTCGCAAGAATTTAACCAGCAGCAATCCAGTTAATGTGCTGTTTGCAGCATTCGCGGCATTTTGGGCGTCTTCTTGGTGCTGACGTGCAACTTCGGTCTCGTGCTGGCTTTCATCCTTGGCTACTACTTCAACTACGCCCAAGTGTCCTGGATTGTGTCCTCGTTGTCCTTTGTGTTCGTCGGCTGCTTCTGGTTCATGCCGGAGACACCGCAGCACCTGGCCAAGACAAACAAGATTGAGGAGGCGGAGCACTCGCTGCGCTACTACCGCAACATAAAATCGAATCCGGCCAAGGAGCTCAGCGAGGAGCTGCAGCTGGAGCTGCAGAAGCTGAGAACCACCGAGAAGACCGCTGCGGACGACGATGATGACGATGGCGCAGCTGCCGGCGCGACTTGGTCCGACTTCGGTGAGATCACAGTGAATTTGAATGTATTCGAACGTGGGTTAAATGGTGAATGAACAACTAGTAGGGGGGTGTAATTAACTAGAAGTCAAGCTGAACTGTGGCCACCACATTGACCAGCCAATTGCAAATTGGGACCTTATGTTCAACACGGCGTATGCGTAATTTCCTTTGCTGCGCGTTTGAAAACAAGCCACATAGTTAAAGATAATTGAGCTCGAACTCGATGCATTCAAATGTTGAAGTTGGGTTCATTACATGTTGGCAAAAGAGCTATTCATAGTTAGATGCATTTGGAATAGGTGCTATTTTACTGTAGGCACTTCTTTGCACCATATCGCTAATGTATCCAACTCGATTTCCTGAACCAGCCGAGGGCAAGACCCGCAAGGCCTTCCTAATCGGACTCGGACTGATAAGCTTCAATCAGCTGTGCGGATGCTTCGCCATGCTGAACTACACGGCCGTGATTTTCGAGCAGGCGGGCTCCAGCCTGCCGCCCACGGTGGCCGCCATCATAGTGGGTGTCATCCAACTGCTGGGCACCTACACATCCACCGTCTTGGTGGAGCGACTGGGCCGGAAGATCCTGCTCCTGGTCTCGGCAGTGGGAATCGGTTTGGGCCAGACTGTAATGGGCACGTATAGCTACTGCCAGGTGCTCGGCAAGCCGGTGGCATCGTTCAGCTGGGTGCCCATCGCCGGGTTCTCCTTCATGCTGTTCCTGGCTGCGGTCGGACTGCTCTCCCTGCCATTCCTGGTGGTATCGGAGATCATGCCGCAGAAGATGAGGAGCTCTGCCCTAATGATTCTGATGTCCACGCTCTGGTTGATTTCCACCTGCACCATAAAGGTAAGATGTGCGCAGATTTTCGAGTTCAGCAAATAATCAAATTCCATTCACAGTTGATGCCGGTTTTCACGGCAAACCTAGGAATGCACGGCACCGTCTTCATGTTCGCCAGCTTATCCTTCCTAGCAGCTATTTTCATCGCCATTTTCGTGCCCGAAACCAAGGGCAGGACAGTGGAAGCCATCTTGGCCAATCTCTAGTACCTACGACTAGTATTAATATGTAATAACCGCTTGTTATTGTTTTTAATAAATGCGCGAAGAAGTGCACTTGGTGTTCGTTCATTAAACCATATAACCGTGACCATAAACGAAGGCACAGTTGGCATGATTGTTATATGGAAATATAACTACTACAATCGGTTGTCTATTCGGCTGCCTTGATCTTTCGCAGCTGTCGCCACACAAAAGATCGTTTCAGCTACTAAAATCTTTGATTAGATAAGATCGCTGCGATAAGGAGCATCTACTTCCAGAAGAGCTTTGCCTTAAAACTAACTGATCTAATTCAAATTAAAGCATCGAACTTGAAATAAGTGAATTCATTTCAATGACCAACTTGCACTGCCAACAATAGGTTTGTTTCATAAAAATAAAAACATATACCATGTTAACAAAAGAAAGAAAAGCTCAGATGGGTGGTTGCTCAGACTAAGGAACTTCTATAATCTAGGCAATGCTCAAAAATGTAGTCTGCTTCTGGGATCAGCTCTTCATGTGGATTTGAACACCATTAACGTTTGTTCGCCTCACTAACTTACTTCAATCCTGTTTTAAAATGGATTCAGCTCTCTTGAGAATAAGCTTTTTGTACAATTATAATGTATGTGTAATGTGAAATTGGCTTAAATAAATAAAACTGCGCAGAGAAATGGAAGTAAAATCGATTTTTCCTGGAAAGCGTAGTAAAGGCTGGACTAGCTCTTTTATGGGATTATCCTCTCAACAGCAAATCCTTTTAGCTTATTTAACTTTTTTACCAGAAACTTACTGCCGGCGGTCCTATCTACTAAATTGGCAGTTGAGTCTGGGCCAACATCGTAAACGTGGCAGCTTAAGCCAGTCGCGACAGACAAGCCCCTTTTTGTGGCCTCATCTGCGGGATGGCAGAGTGGCAAATAGTTGTTTGACTTGTGAAATGTCTGTTGTACAAATACAAAAAGGTAATTTGAATTAACTTAATCCGCTGGGCGAGCAACAACAGGTAGTCGCAGCTTGCGCCACTATCTTTACAATGTAATTTGTGACGTGGGTGTGGGTTTGTCAATTCAGAAAACACCACAAAGGTATGTGGACAGCGATCTCTAATCTAGCCGATATAAAGATTGTGAAGTGGTCCAATTCCGAGGAGCTTTGATCTGTGCTGCGACTTAAGAACGCCACAATATCGCATTTGTGCCGCTACTCTGAAGTGAGCTTGACACTCAAACGGCTAGAATGGCCCACTTTTTTGCGAACTCCCTGCTGCAGCACAAAACCCGCTATCAGCTTTTGGCCACGGTAATAGGTGAGGCTCCCCTCTTATTTCCTTCTGCATTTCCCTCTTAATGCTCCTTGTCGGCAGTTAACATTATTACTTTCGGCCACGGAGTGGGCGTGGGCTGGCTCTCGCCGACACTGACCAAAATCCAAACGCCCGACTCGCCGCTGGACTTTGAGGTGAATCTCGCCGAGATTTCCTGGCTGGGTTCCATGCTGGGACTGGGCAGCCTGTGCGGAAACCTAACCATAGCCGTGCTGATTGAGAGGGCGGGCAGGAAGTGCTGCCTCTACCTCATGGCCGGCCCTTATGCGGTGAGTATATGTTCCTTCAGTTGTTTAGGTCATTGGTTAATGGATAGAGTGCTAGTGCATCTGGATTTTGATCTACTGCGCCTCGAATGTGTACTACCTGTACGCAGCCAGGTTTCTGTGCGGGTTTACCGGCGGAGCAGGATACTTGGTGGTGCCTATTTTCATCAGCGAGGTAGCCGATAGCAAGTGAGTTTATGTGCCCAGAAAACCATCAATCTTATCTAAACTGTCGAGCTTCCAGCATTCGAGGCGCGCTGACTTCGATGGTGATGCTATCCGTCGATTTGGGAATACTGGCTGGCTACATACTGAGCACTTATCTGGCCTATCATGTCGTACCCTTCTTGGCCATTATCTTGCCCGTAGCCTACTTTATGGCCAATATAATGTTGCCCGAAACAGCCCCGTATCTGCTGAGGAAAAGCCAGCTGGCTGCAGCAGAGAACTCCTACAGATTCTACAGGAATCAGCGGAGCGCAGACTGCGAGCTTACCTCAAGGACCAACTTTGAGCAGCTACGCACAGCGGTTTTGTCCCAGCAGACGAGGAATGCCACGCCGCTCAGCTACAAGGACCTCAGTGAGTGCGATTAGAGCTACGAATGGCATCCCTTACATCCCATTGACTTATTGCAGCGACCAAGCCCGCCTTGAAAGGATTCGCCGCCTCCATTGTGCTGAGCCTGGGCTACCAGTTCAGTGGGGTGTTCAGCTTCATCAACTACATGTCCGACATATTCAGGGCATCCGGCTGCATTGTGGACGTCAATACGGCCACTATTATCATAGGCTTAGTCCAGATCGTTGGCGTCTACACCTCGACCTTGCTGGTGGACGTCGTGGGTAGAAGGGTTCTGATGCTGACCTCGACCATGGGCGTGGGCATCGGTTGCATTGCCTTCGGCTGCTTTACCTACTTGGCCGAAATCTATGACCTCAGCGATTTCAATTGGCTGCCTTTGGTGCTGATGATCATCATCTGCTACGTGGCCAATATTGGGCTAATTGGAATCTTTTTCCTCGTGCTGGTGGAGCTGTTTCCAGTGAAGGTACATCCTAAGCAATGTTCACTATCCAAAGGCTATCCTATCCACATCTCTGCTTCGCATCCCTCAGATTCGCTCCTTGGCCACCTCGCTGTCTGTGATTTTCCTGAGTTTACTCGTCTTTGGTAGTCTGAAGCTATTCCCGCTGATGCTGCACTACTGGGGCATTTCGTATACCATGTGGTTCTCCGCCGCCTCTGGACTGCTGACGTTCCTTTACTTCTGGTTATTTCTGCAGGAGACCAAGGGAAAGTCCATGATTGAGGACTAACAAGTAGCTGAATTTGCTCCGAGTGCAAACCCTTTCAAACCAATTGTAAGATTTAAGAATTCATATTTTAATGCAAGCTGTTGGTTTTTAATTAATTAATAAACGAAATGTGCAATATGCACACAACAAAAAAAATATTATGAGTTAAATCCCTTTAAGCGTTGTGTTAACGCTTAAAAAGCTGCTTGTTGTGTTCATTTCATTATTTATAAACATGATGGTTGGTGAAATATGGTGAAATATTATATATATGACAATATATAAGTTCACATGTTTCGTAAGATATATTCAAGTTTTACAATACAACTTTTACTTAGCTCTTTACTCCTCAAAATAAAGCCTTAAGCCCATAAAGAAAGTGCGTGTGGTTAAGCCTTCCACTGTTTTCTCGCGGATTATCTGACTAGACAGTGTTAATTAATCTCAGTCATCGTAACTCAGTTACTAACTGAGGCGTTAAACTCGCGTTTTCACCATTTTACAGGATTTTTCTTGGCATTTGTTGTTGGCACTTTTGCTAGCTAAGAGAGAAAGTGCTAACTATGAGAACTATCTATCAATCATCACCTTCTGCCATGGATTGATGAGACCCTTTGATTGTTCCGCGCTTGTGGGGCACGTGTCCTGGGCAGAATCCTTGGTGGGCGGAGGACAGTGTTGTGTCCAGAACTTTTGGGAATCGTATTGGCCGCAAGCTGGTTCCGATTAGGGCTGCCTTTCCTTACAGGGCTAGATAAGTTAAAAGATAAGTACAAGCTATTTCATCATGGAATTCGACGTTATCTAGATGTCTTGCCGCACAGTTTACATTGTTTAGTGCGTTTAGTAAGTTAGGGAATGAATAGACTGGAATCCTTTGGAGATGCACAGTCGCCCCTAATTTTGGCTACCATGCGAGGCCTTCGACTATTTATTATTTGTATTGCAAAATAAAATAATTGGCAAACAGAAATATCTTTAATAGAAAGCCTTTTCGAGTGTATTTACCCACGGTAGGCGCCATGAAAGTCATTGGCTTATCAGGTTTAGATAAACCGGTCACGAAATATTTAAGGGGAAGTTGCTAGCGTAGATGAATCTCGTTCAGTGTGGAGAAAGCATCTCGACCATGACGTTCAAACTGCGCTTATCCGCGGTCTTCGCCAATCCGAACTGCCTACTGGGACGCAGGAATCGGCACCAGCTCCTGGTTACCCTGCTGCGTAAGGAACCAACTGCTGCGCAGGCTCCAGTTACCAGATTCCAGATTCTAGAGCACTTTACTCCGCAGTGAACGTAGCCACCTTCTCGCACGGCCTGGGCGTGGGTTGGATGTCGCCGGTGATGAGGGATCTGCAGACCGAACAGTCGCCCCTGGATTTCCCCGTTCTGGTGAGCCAGGTGTCCTGGATAGGATCCCTCGTGGGCATTGGCAGCGTGTTTGGCAATCTGATCGCCGGATTACTCATGGATCGCATTGGTCGCAAGATGGTCCTATTCTTCATTGCCATTCCCCATACGGTAGGATGAGTCAGCATTTTTGGCGCAACTTTTTGACCAACGTTTTCGTCTAGACCTTCTGGTTCCTGGTTTACTTCGTCCAGAGTGTGGAGTTCCTATACATCGGCCGACTGCTGGCCGGCGTGACTGGCGGCGCCTGTTACGTCGTCCTTCCGACCTTCATAAGCGAAATCGCTGATACCAAGTGAGTCTCAAAGTTGTGTGCGCTGAATTATACTACGATTAACTACGATTAATTGCTCATAAATCTGTGCAGTGTACGCGGTCGCCTGGGCTCCATTATCTTACTATCGGTGAACACGGGTGTTTTGGCAGGTTATATAGTGTCCACGAAAGCGGGTTACTACTCCTCTCCCCCGTTTATCATCATCCTGCCCATCTTTTACTTTATCTGCAACTTCCTCATTCCGGAGACCCCACATCACCTAGTTCGCAAGGGCAAATTCGAAGCGGCCAAGAGGTCGTTCGCGTTCTACAAAAACATCAGGAGAGATGACGTCAAGGCGGAGGACGAGTTCGAGGACCTGAAGCACCTCCTAATTAAGGAGCAGACGGAGAAGGCCAAGTCCTTCGACTACAGGGATTTCAGTGGGTGCACACGGCATATCAAATGATGTATCTATTCACATTCTTTCTTTAATCCTAGTTACCAAGCCAGCATTTAAGGCTTACGCCTCTGCCGCCGTTCTGCTCATTAGCAACCAATTCAGTGCCAGTTTTTGCGTGACCACCTACTTGGCGGACGTCTTCGCGGCATCCTACACCACTCTGGATCTGGCCACGTGCACCATTATCATCGGAGTGCTCCAGATCGTGGGCAACTACGTGACCACGCTGCTGTGTGATAAGTACGGAAGGAGGATTCTCATGCTGACCTCCTCTTTGGGGGCCTCCCTTTGCCTAACCGCCTTCGGCACCTTCACATTCTTCGCAAAGGACGGTAATCTTTCTGCCGTCGGCTGGTTACCACTTGTGATCCTGTCCTGCTTCGTATTCCTCTGCAACATCGGCTTGGTGGGCTGCCTCTTCGTGGTTCTCGTCGAGCTCTTTCCTGCCAAGGTGCGTTTGGCCTACTCCTCCTAAAACTTTTTTAAACATATGCCATCGTTTGTTTTCCAGATTCGATCTGTGGGCGTCTCCGCGTTTGTGGTGATACTGAGCATTTTCGTATTCCTCACCCTGAAAATCTTCCCCATCTGCATGGCGGTTTGGGGCATCTCGGTTACCATGTGGTGCTGTAGTGGCACTACGTTCCTCACTTTTCTCTACTTCTGCTTCTTTCTGGAGGAGACCAACGGAAAATCGCTACTGGAGGCTTAGTTTGTTTGCTGGAACGATAGTGGGTTATCACACTTGTAGCACCTGTCCGATTAACCTAAGCCAGTAGTTATCTTTACGGCCAGAGGATACCAGCCGGATACTTAAGCTGATTCCGCAGCGGAAAGCCCTTTCAGTGGTCAGAGTTACGTTGCCAAATGAAGACTGAATAAAGATCGCGGTGATAGTTAAGTGGACATCCGATTTCTTGGGTACAAAATGCAGTTGCGGTTGTTTCAAAGGCCGAACTGCCTGCTTAATCGCAGGAATCGATATCAGCTGCTAACCACGCTGCTGAGTAAGTAGTCCTATCTTACCACCTGAGGCTGCAAGGACTCACAGTGACTGACATTTATTCAGTTAATGTCATATCCATATCACACGGCATCGGCATCGGTTGGCTATCGCCCACCCTGAGGAAGCTGCAGTCCGCATCCCCCGTGGGTTTCGAGGTGCAGTCCGAGTTCGAGATCTCCTGGGTGGGCTCCATGCTGGGCATGGGCTCGGTGACTGGCAATATTCTGGTTGGATGCCTGCTCGGGCGCCTGGGCAGCAAGCGGTGTCTGCTGTTGATTGCCATTCCGCACTCGGTAATTTGTCAAAGGCGAACAATGGGCATCCAATCACAAAACGCTCATAATGTGTGCTTTTAGTGCCTGTGGATCCTGGTCTACTTTGCCCAGAGTGTGGAGTATCTGTACGTGGGAAGACTTCTGGCTGGCATCTGTGGCGGCGGCATGTACATTGTTCATCCCATTTTCCTCAGCGAAATCGCAGATGCCAAGTAAGTGCATAATATATGACTGCCGCAAGCGAATTGTCACGATATCTCGCTTGCAAAAGATTAGAATGAACTTGAACTTCACGACTTCGCGAGAAATGAGCTGCTCAAATTCAAATTGTTAACACTTACTCATGGCATCATAACTCGGATTACCTTCCCCACAGCATCAGAGGAACCTTCTCTGCCATGGTCATGTTATCGGTCAATGTGGGCATTCTTGTGGGCTACATCATGGGCACCCACTTGCCGTACTACTCGATTCCGTTTGTTGTGCTGATACTGCCGCTGTGCTACCTCATTTCTGTGTTGCTGCTCGTGAAGGAGTCCCCCATGCATCTCATCAGGATTGGCAAGTACTCCGCCGCCGAGAGATCGTTCCGCTACTACAAGAACATCAAGGACTCAGATAGCATTCACGACCAGAATAGGGCCATGGAGGAGTTCGAGATCATGAAGATAGCACTGGCCAAAGGGGCTCCGCTGCAGGATGCCATCACGCTTAAGGACTTTTGTAAGTTTCTACATATCTCGATGTGGGTATACTGCAATGTTTGTTACTCTGGAAGGCTCTCGTCCTGCTCTGAAGGCCTATGGACCCGCTCTGGTGCTTCTGATTGCCAATCAGTTCAGTGGTCTCTTCACCATGGTCAACTACATGTCGGATATATTCGCCAACTCGGGCAGCACTATGGATCCCGACACGTGCACCATCATCATTGGAGCCGTCCAAATCCTGGGCACCTATGTGACCACTTTGCTATGCGACATCTGTGGACGAAAGCTCCTCATGCTGGTCTCCACGGCCGGAGTGGCCATTAGCCTGGCGGCCTTCGGACTCTTCACCAAATATGCCCAGAGTCACGATGTCGGTGAGTACAGCTGGATACCCCTGCTCCTCATGTCGATGGACATTTTCCTGGGCAACATCGGCCTGGTGGGATGCTTCTTTGTCAGCCTCGTGGAGATCTTTCCCGTCAAGGTACGTTGCAAAGCCATGGAGTTCAAAGGAATATACTTGTGATTCATTTCAATTGTTTGATGCGTAGATTCGGGCCAAGGCTGCCTCAATGGCCATTGTGGTTTGCAGCAGCTTTGTGTTCGTCATGCTGAACATATTCCCGATCTGCATGAAACAGTGGGGCATATCGGCCACGATGTGGTCCTGTGCAGGTGTCACAGCACTATGCTTCCTATATTTCACGTTCTTCCTGAAGGAAACCAAGGGCAAGTCCATGCTGGATGACTGAGCACGAATGTGATTACAATGAATTCAATAAAGGCATGCAACTGATTACAGAGAAATTAATTGTTATGGAGTGGCAAATCCTTTGTACCATCCGCTCGTCATCACTCATACGGAAACAATTTAAATTTAATTAGCTTACACATCCATGTGTCTGCTTTTCAATCGGGGAAAATCAATAGGCGACTGAAGATTTCAGGTGTTCAGTTTACATTTTCATGTATATTTAAATAAGTTTAGTCACATATAATTAGATAATATAAACAAAATACGATTTAT